TTACTCATTGCTTATTTATTTTTGTGGTTACTTTTCATTTATGGGAAAGTGGTACTGGTTTTCCATTTACAGGAGATTTAGAATGTTTCCTCTTTAAATAAATTTAAGTTAAAAAATAGGTCAATTTGAACTAAACCATTAAGTAAACACAGGACATGTGGGTACAGCCAAAAAACAAAGTCAAGATGCATGAAAATTACTGAAATTTGGGACAGTGTATTGTGTCAGTGGTTCTCAAAGTGTAGTCCAGGAACCCTGGGTAATCCCCCAGATTATTTCAGGTAGTCCATAGAATCAAAACAAAGATCATAATAATACTAAGACATTACTTGCTTTTTGCAGTCTTATTCTCTTTCAAGTGTATAGTGGGGTTTTCCAGAGACTATATGACATACGGTAAGGCAAGAGAGTAAATACAGAAGCAGATATGAGAATCCAGCTGTCTCTATTAAGCTAGACAGTAAAGAGCTTATAAAAATGTAAAACAATGCCACTGTTTTTTTTTTGTTTTTGAAAATATGGTTAATTTCCATAAAAATGTGGCAAATATATATAATGGGTTTATATTGCTGTTCTTATTTTTTAAATTAGCTTACAGTAAAATTTCCTGTTTTGATGTATAGTTCTATGACTTTTACCACATGGCAACCAGTGATCTGTTCTCGCTTTTTTCTCTTTTCCAAATGTCGTATAAATTGAATCATACCATCTGAAATCTTTTGAGATTACTTCTTTCACTCAGGATAATTCCTCTGAGATCCATCCATGTTGCTGTATGTATCAATAGCTTGTTCCTTTTCACTGCTGAGTAGTATCTCATGATATGGATGTGTCCCAAAATTATTCATCCATTCGCCCATTGAGGGACACTGGGTTGTTTTCAACTTTGTGAATTACAAATAGAGCTGCTATAACCAGATGGTTTTGTGTGTGTGTGTGTGTGTGTGTGTGTGTGTGTGTGTGTGAACATACATTTTCAATTCTCTAGAATAAATACTTGGGAGAGGAACTGCTGGGTAAGTGTATATCTAATTTTGTAGAAACCATTTTCCAGAGTGGCTTTACCATTTTGCATTCCCACCAGCAATGGATGAGATTTCCAGTTGCTTCTCATCCTTGCCAGCCCTTGATACTGGGTTTGTTAATTAACTTATTATTGCTATCATACTATAAATGCAGTGGCTTCTCATCATGTTTTAAATTTTCATTTCCCTAATGACTAATGATGTTGAACATCTTTTCAGGTGTTAATTTTTCATCCGTATATCCTTTTTGGTGAAGTGTGGGTTGAGGTCTTCAGGCTCATTTCTCAAATTGAGCTGTTTATTTTCTGACTATTGAGTTTTGAGAATTCTTGTATGTACTGAATACAGGTCTTTTGTCTGATATGTGTTTTGAAAATATTTTCTCCCATTCTGTAGCTGTCTTCCCATTCTTTTAATTGTGTATTCA